TGAGTGCCCCTGCCAGTGCAGCCAGGGGCAGGGGAACATTTTGGCTGTGTCTAAGCAAGGTGCAGGAGGATTGTACGTTCCGAAGGGGCTCCCTGAGGAAGGGTTTATTCCATTGAACATTGGGGTTGTCACTGCCTGGGTCTGAAGCCTTTGCAGGCGAGAGGAGAGCACAGCGTGAGCTGCTCTAGGATACAAGGTGTTAATGGCACCTGCTCTGTGAATTCCCGTCTGGGTGGATAGGGTGGTGGGGTTTGGGGAGTCTGGAGAGGCTGTCACTGAGGAGTCTCAGTGTCTGGAGAGGCTGGGAGCAGCCAGGGCCTCTCTGCTTGGCTGTTGCAGTCGCTCCCTGTGCTGCAGCATCGTGATGAGAGAGCCATTGGTCAGGGAATCCTTCCCAGAACCGAGAGCAGTCAGGAAGGGCTGATGGAACTGCTGCTCAACGTTGGTTGTGCTTTAAAAATGCTGTGTTTAGATTCATGGATAAGTGTCTGTTTTGGCAGTATTGGGGATACAATAAAAGCCACCACCTTTTAAACAGAAGGTCTGATAAGCAGAGCTTGAGGTTTTGTCATACGAATCGAAGTGACTGTGTTAGAAATAGAAAGATGTCAGGTATGGCCACAGAAGTAACCTTTGAATCCATGTCTTGTTAAATGAGTTACTTTTGTGAATTCTGGGAGTGCCTCTTTGTCTTCTTACATATTACTGGGAAGTGAAAAACAGGTTTAATTTCAATTTGAGATATGGCTGTTCCAAACTTAGTTAAAAAACTGAGACTATTTTTGATTGAGATTAGTGAAAGTCTTGGTGGCGGTTGCAGAGATCCATTGTAAAAGTATAGTAAGTTGCCATTATTAGCAAATGGAAAATGGAATTTGTGTTATACTCGGGAATTGGGAAGTGCTGCTGGAAATATTTTGATTAAGAAAGGAGTGGTGACAGTGGCAACTGGCAGAATTTCTGAAAGTTTATACGAATGAAGAGTTTTATTACAGTCCAGTGAGTAAGAAGAGAAAAATTGCTGAAACTTGCCAACTAGGAATTTAATTTTAGTGTTCCTTTCATCAAATGATAAAGGAATATAATAAAAGTTTCCTTGTAGCTTTTTTCATGTGAATGAGATCTGGGAGTTGATATGCCTTAGGTGTGGAAAGACATCTGCGATGGCTAATTAATATTTTTAGGTTATAGCCAAAGCAGTTAATGTGCTTTGTTTCAATTAATAGAATTGTATTTTGCTGCTAGTTAAAAAAAAGAAAATGAACACAAATCCTTTTTTGGGGGGAGGAGTAAAAGTGCAGTCCATCAGGGCTCTCCCTCGAGGTGGAATGTCTCCTGTAGCTTTCTGAGAGGGCAGCAGTGTTGGGCTGGTTGTTTTCCTGTGGGTGTGTTTGTGCTGGGAGTGCAGTGCTGTGTGAGTGAGAGCATCCCTGACTTTCCCTTTCCTCTCTCTCCACTGCTGGCACAGGGACCGTGGTGGTACCTGGTGGAGATCCGGAGTGTTGGCACCAGTGTCCTTCTCATCACATTTGGTGTTACCCACTAGGATGTCAGCGATTTGAAACGTTTGAAAATAATGTAGCTGTAATTCGTTTAGAAGAAGTGTAGGCAGATGATAAGATGGGCTCTGAACCTCGTCGGGCTGTTTGCACCTGGATGGGCCAAGCCCTGACAGTTCAGGCACATCGCTGTGTGCTGAAACACAGTGCAGGGTGATTGTGGTCTGGGAAGAGTGTGAACTCTGAGTACTTTACTTGAAGGCATTAAAAACCAGTTATATTTGCTATAGGGATCACATCTGACTGCTCTGAAATTAAGCAATGTCTGGGGTGGAACGTGGCATCTGTTTAAACAGTGCACAGGAACAGCACACGACAGTTTTCAGGTCAGGAAGCTGGGAACGTCCTGATCAGCTGAAAATGCCAAGGCAAATGTAGGTGGGTGGAGTGTTTTTATCCAACCTGGTGTCTGGCCAGGGAACCAAAACACCTCCAAAACCTCTGCAGGATCGTTGGTAGCCACAGTGCTCTGGACTCGCCTCCACGTCACCGGGACGTCAGCTGGCAGCAGCACAGGTTCTGCTGGACCTTTTAGCATGTTTCCCTTTTTGCATCTTGCCTGTCTCTGTCCACTGCCTCAGCTTTGATGAGACATGGCTCTGTGGGCTGTGGGGGTTGGTGGTTCCCAGCAGCACACTGTCACACGGGGGTGACGTGTGGGATCCCCTTTGTGGTGGCTGCAGCCTCCCCCTCCTGCCCTGGGGATAACCACAGCCTTGTTCCTTGGTCTAGGTGGTGCAGGCACGATGGGAGGTGCAGCTGTTTATACACTGCTTAGAGTTTCTCATGAATACCTGAGTCAGTTTCAGAATCTGATCCTGTAACAGCACATCAGTGTTTGAGGTGAGAGCTTGTAAACCCCTCAGGATTGTGGCTGGGGGCCGTCCAGTTCGTGTCGCTGACGTGAGTCCCTCGGCGTGGAAGTTAAGCCTGCAGATCTGCAGGAGTCAGGTGTGCAGCTGGCAGAATTAGGTATGTATTTAGCAAGTTTTGCTGCAGCCAGAATTCTGTTTTTTTTACTGCTGCTTGGACACTGTGAAATTTTCAGGCCCTTTGAGCAGATTGTCCTGCGTTGCTGGTGATCAGTTGGAACAGCATGGTGTATTGCTCTGGAAACAGGCAGGTGTCAGAAGTACAGGACCAGGGCTGCTGGGACAGCTGTCCTGATGATGTGCAGCTTAGGGGCCAGAATACACAGCACAGGACTTCAGCTGGGCCTGTTACTAAATCACAGCCTTGGAGTCTTGCCTGGGAGGAGAATTGTGTCAGTTTGTGTACACACTTGGGTTTTAACAGTATTTTGCACACAGCTAAAGAGCTGAATGGCTGTGGTCAGTCCTGGCTGTGGCCTGTGAGACCTGCCCACTCCTCCTGCACATCCTGTGACCTTCTGACCAAAGTCTGACTGACCTGCTGTGCCTCTGCTCTTGTGTCAGGACCAGGTTAAGCTAAGGTGCATGTACACAGTCCTGAGGTTCAACTGAACCTTCCTGATTGGACCGAGATGTTGGTGGATGCTTTCCTTTCCGGACTTTTTCTGAGAATAAAGGCTCTCAGGGTGCTGTAATTTTCCCCCAAGTTTTTCTCCCTGGCATTGCAGCTTGGATAGATAGTGAGTTACAGCCTAATTTTTACGTACATTTGTCTTGCGAGTGTCACTTTGTCACCTGAATCTCCTGTGCTGAACAGTTATTTCACATTGTGAGGTGTTTGGCACAAGTCAGAGTTTCAAAGTAGTTCTGTTGGTTTTTTAAAGCTCTTTCAGTCACTGACTACTAATAACACTTAATGAAGTGGGTCCTCATGCCATTGCCTTTGGTGGTGGCTGTCCTAATCTTGACTTTTAACGAGATCTCAGGTAAAAGACACAAACTCTACCGCATAATAAAATTAAACATTTATTTACTCTGTTTGAAATCTATTTTATTACTTATGCTACTTGTCCCTACCTCCCTCGATGGCACATAGATCCTTTCCTGCGTTACCTGTGGAATTAAAAGGAATTAAAAGGAAAAGCAGCATTTCCACAAGATCAATGTGGAAGAGAACAAGGTGGTCAGACAGATCTGGGTTCCCTAAACAGACTGGGGGGATTCATGTCTCTGCCAAACCCAGAAGTGATTGCCTTTCATTTCAAGGGGCTCACAGGACAGTATCTGTCTTTGTTCTCTTCCAGGGTAAATGTGCTAGCACAGCCCAACAGAACTGTCTTTTAAGGCTGTTTCTAACCAACCATGTTTCTTACATGTGCACGGCTCGAGTTCTTGAACTGAAAGCTGTATGAGCAGAGGTAGCAATGGTGTATATTTTATAGTGGAGTAGCTCTATTGAAGCAGGACATGGCAGACACTTGGGGTTTGCCAGAATGAAGGAGAAATGTGTTAATTCCCTAAAACTGGGGCATGTGCCAGGTTTTTGCAGTAGTTGCTGTGGGGAAGATTAATAGTCAAAATTCTGTAATGGAAAATCTACTATCTATTTTTACTCACATTTGGAGAAAACTGCAGGCCCCTTGGTGCAGGTGAGCTCTGTGTGTGCTCCACCCAGCACAGCAGGATGTGTCCGTGCTGGGGGCACCATGGAGCTTCATCCTGTCTTTGTCGTGGAGACAGAATTCTTGTGATGTTAGCATGCAAAATACAAATTTTAGCATTCAGTATAACACTCTGCTAGGCGAAGGATGTGAACTTGGCTCTGGAGCAGCAGCAAGCACTTCCTGGAGTTCTGTGCATTGCCTGGCTGTGAATTGCAGCAGGTTATTTGGGAATCAGTGGGGCTGATATCTGGTACCACAAACAGTGTCTGGGAGAAGCTGTTCCCTGGCAGACAGTTGGGTTTGGGAGAATGCAATCTGCTTGATTTTGAAAATGCCTCTGCAGGGCATTGCAGAGAGACCAGTGCTTTGGGGGCTTGCTGGGCTGTTGGGCAGAGCTGTGTCAGCACTAACACGTGTGGGCTGAGAAGCCTTTCTGGAGTCACAGGAAATGCTTTGTTGGGATTGATGAATTACAACAAATTACATGCAACAATAAAGGGGCAGAGACCAGTAAGTGCTAAAACAATGATACTTGACCATCTTTATTTCGTTGAGTTCTGGCTAGATGGATGGTTTGGTTTCTGATAGATTTTTGCTTGTCTGGTGTAAAGTGACTGATTTTTCTGCCTTTCTTTTCCCTGGTAGACCAGAGACGACTTCCTGGGCCAGGTGGATGTGCCGCTCAGTCACCTCCCGGTAAGCAGAGCCTTTGGCTCAGGTGCTTTTGGCAGCACCAGATGTGAGAACCCTCATCTTATGTACAGCTGATTTCCATATGCACTGCAGTTACACAAGGCAAGTGTTCCCAGCAGAGTGCCAGGTGCTCAAAGGAAACTGTTAGAGATCCCCAACCTCACCTGCATGGGCACAGGGAAACGTGCACCTTTTATGCAAAAATTCTGGTGGCTTATCCAAAAATCTTCATCGGAGCAAATTTGCTTCAGCAAATGCATGAAAAACCAAAAGGTTGCAAGAACTATGTCATCTATTCTCTATTTCAGCCCAAACTGAATTCTTTGCCAGCAGTAGGAGTTCTATTAGCAATCAGTTAAAAGGAACCGACGCAGAGTTTGGGTGATTTTATTGTCAGCAATCAGACATTCGAGGGGTTTGATTTGGGGGCAGCAATGTTTGCTCACTTCTGTTCTTAGTAAATGGAGGGGTTCTGTGCAAAGCTGGTTCTGTGGTCCCCTAAAGCTGCAGCTGACTGGTTTCCTCCCAGCAGCCAGGATTCTGCATGGGCTGCACACTCAGAGCCTGGAGCAAGTGCAGTTCCTGTTTATATACATATGAATAGAAATAGCTGTGTATATACAGTGATGGCTTTAGCCTTGGTACAAACATTTCTGATCTTATAGACTGTTTTGGGTGACTAACACTGGATGTTGTTAATAGTTTATAAATGTTGTACATGGTCCTCTTACCTCTGTGACCTTGCAGGAGTTTTATGTTTGAAGTTATTGGTGCAATAACTTTCACCATTCCCACGAGGGAATGTTTGAAGTTATTGCAAGTGTTTACATCAAAACAAGGTGTCAGTTTAGCATAACTTGCCCACGAGGGATCTGACTGATTGATAAGAAAGCTGAAATTCTCATGGCATAGAAAGTTGTCAGGATTCCAGGCTTTGTGAAACTCGGGATTCAGTGGAAGTCAGAGGTGCAACCTGTCAGCCTGATGAGTGAGTGTGGTTTATGTGGCTCTGGACTCGTGGGCAAGCACTTTCATTTGCCCTTTGCTAACTGCTTGCAGACTGAAGACCCAACCATGGAGAGGCCATACACATTTAAGGATTTCCTCCTCAGACCAAGAAGGTGAGGGGAAGGACCTTTGTACCTTAAAGCATTTCTTACTTGAGTATTTTTTATCTGCCGCTATTCCAGGGTTGTTAAATGAAATGTACCTCCTTGTCTTCTAGCCACAAGTCTCGTGTAAAGGGTTTCTTGAGACTGAAGATGGCTTATATGCCTAAAAATGGTGGCCAAGAGGAAGAAAACAGTGATCAAAGGGATGACTCTGAGGTAAGGCTTAGTGCTTGTGGAAGCATTGAAGTTACTAGTGAGTCAAATAAAGCTGTAGAAAACGCTGTACCTGGAAGGATAAGCCCTTGGCAGCAGGGTGAGCAGCTGGTTCTCTCTGGCACCAGAAGACCCAACCACCTGTGGAAATCCCACTTTAAAAGACAGATGGGGCTTTAGTTATTCTGGCCCTGAGATGAGGAGCACACTAATCACCAAGGTTTTTCCCTTCGTTCCTCAGCATGGATGGGATGTGGTCGATTCCAACGACTCTGCATCTCAACGTCAGGAGGAGTTGCCACCTCCTCCTCTGCCTCCTGGATGGGAAGAGAAGGTGGACAACCTGGGACGGACTTACTACGTCAACCACAACAACAGGACGACTCAGTGGCACCGGCCGAGCCTGATGTGAGTGGCAGCACAGTGCAGAGTGTGTGGGTGTGCAGAACGGAGAACCCGAGTCTGGGTATCTGCAGCTACAGAGGAAACAGCTCCTCCCTGAATGCCTGAAAGAGACTTCCCACCCCCAGCAAATCACACAGACACATGGGTGTTCTGGGACATCCCAGGAAATCTGAAGGGGTGGGAGGGAAGTCAGTGCATTAACAATTTACCTTAGAATATTGGGAGACAGCTGTGGAATTTTTCAGTAAGTAATTTAGCAGGAATAAATTACTTTGTTCTGTCGAGACTGCTGAAAAGGTAAGGGAAAAAGTCAACTCCATTAAATTTTAATGAATTAAACGGATTAGCTTTGAGGAGCTCCTGGAATTACTCAGTCTATAGGCTGCAGTCCCTGGGCCTGCTAATGGGGATGCCCTCTGTGAGCTGTCAGTGTTTGTGTCTCGGGATTAGCTTTAGAAAGCTGTGGCAAGCTTGCATTTTGCAAGGTGTGAATAATTGGCAGTGTTAAGAATTGTGCTGAAGTAATGTATATAAGCCAGTACTGCCCAGGCCACCACCAAGCCATGTCCAGGGAAGTGCTGCATTCCCCAGCACTGGACACTTCTGGGGTTGGGCTAGACAGGGTGCTGGGCCATTCGTGTCCAAACCAGGAAGGGTTGGAGCAGATGACCCTTGAGGTCCTTCCCAGCCTAGTGTTCTGTGCTGCTGTGACATTTGTGAAGTGCTTCCAGTTTGATTTTCTTTGGCTTGAGGGGGTTAAACAGTCTCCTGTTTATGAGCCTGGTACATGCATGAATAATGATTTCTATAACCAGAAGCATTGCTGAGGTTTTGTAGGCAATGGACACAGTAGGGTTTAGTTTACCTCTGGTTATTTTCCTGTTCTTTTCTCCCTGCCATGCTCTCCATTCCCCACCCTGCAGCGATGTGGGGTCCGAGTCAGATAACAACATCAGACAGATAAACCAAGAGGCAGCTCACAGGAGGTTCCGCTCACGGAGGCACATCAGTGAGGACTTGGAGCCAGAGCCTGTGGAGAGTGGAGACATTCCTGAGGTATGTACAGCTCTCGAATTAAGGAGCTGAGTGAACTTGGAGCTGATGCATTGCTCATTTGTGAGCTAATCACTACACAGCATAGATAGTCATGGTTTGACACAGCATTTGTGGAAATTGCCTTGGAAAAATGCCAGGGATGCCATGAGAATCCAAGCAGAGCTGTACTGTCAAGGGCCCATGCATCTGTGGGTGCCTGGGGACATGTGCACAATGCTAGATACCATGCAAACGCTGGGGGAAACGTTTGCAATTCCAAGCATCGATGTCCTGTATACATTGATAGAGACACTTTCGTGTTCTGCTGTGAGTGACAGTGGAATAAATTGTCAAATGAAGGGAAATGGACTGGCTGGAACTGCCATGTGCTTCAGTTTTCTGTAGTGCCTTGGTTCAGGGGAAAGAGAAGCTGTTGTTTGGGTGTTGGTCACAGTGAGGTGATCCCATAAGAGGCAAAGGG